TTTTTGTTTAATTATCTACATCAGGGGCCTTGTCCTCGTGTGCGACTTTGTTAAATGTTGCCGTGGTGGGGTATGCATTTGCCCCATTCTTTATGTGTATCTCGACACCAGCCAATCTTATAGGCAATTTGTTGGGCCTGATGTACAATTCTTACTGGTAAGTACCTATTCGATACTCAAATTATGATTTCTGGCATAATGCCAATTATATATACACTTGTTTTCAAATATTCAATCGACCTTTTTTTCTTTTTCAGGACATATTTCTACACATACAGTTTTGCTGAATGTCCTGCGAGCTCAGATACGGTTAGTTTGTAAGCATATGATTATAGAGCAGAATAGTATAGAATAGAATAGAATAGAATAGAATAGAATAGAATAGAATAGAATAGAATAGAATAGAATAGAATGGAATGGAATAGAATATCGTTATATCAGCTTCTGTGCTTGCTCAGACGTCTTGATAGATCCCAAAATCAATGCTTTCCCGTTTCTTGCTTGGGCAGAGTTATGTTCTTTATGAATACTAACTTGTAACCGTGAGATTACCATTGATTATAATACCGTGCGCCGTCCGCCATTGAAACGATGCGTCCTCATTGGTTGATTTGTACCACGTGCAGTCTTTTTATCAGACGATGTCTGCCAATGCTTGAGGTAAATGTACAAACTCGACCATGTCCAATGTTTCTCCAATTTTGTTCGAACCATGCTTAGTTCACGTTAAGGAATTCTGGTTATTTTCATCTCGAACATTTCCTATCAGTGTGTTTTCACATGTCGTTGGCTCATGAACATCCTCTATGTGACTGAAATAGGAGCGTTTACGACACGCTTACAACGCTGTCGATTTGCAAACTACAACTGCACGTACATGTATATTCATTTTTTCGAGAGTCCAGAATATTATAATTGAAATTTAGGACTCCACACTACCCATTATTGCGTGTTGTGAATCAGTACCATCAGAAACAAGCCAAAAATTAAAGGTTATTATGACGTCATAGTTTTACATTATCACAAGATATTGTGATATTTGTAAGTATATTGATTTTGAAAAAACGCTTTAAAAAATTTGTTTATAACAAAATTTGCGATTTATAACCACTAATTACTGCATCTCGGTCATTATTGTACATATTCCCCCTGTAATGTCCCATATACTGATAATGAACAGTACGTCGCCCCCAATTCCCTAAACAACGTGACTATATAGGTTTGTAGCCATTGTGCTGTTTACGAGGCTGGCACTGAAACTACGCACCGCATTTCAGGATTGTTATAACAACGTTTTACTTTGCTATTTCTTCATCAAGCTAATTTTATGAAAATGTTGGATTATATAGTTCATTTGACTGGCAACGTGTTGCTGTATTGCGTTTTATTTAGGCCACAATGGCTCAGTGCAACCAACTTTCTGGAATATAAGTCTGTCGCTTGTAGCTTGTTTATACCTTCCGAAATCCCAAATATAACAAACAGTAAGGGAATATAGAATATAAATACATATGAATCACAAGCAGTGCGAAGGAACAGCTACCGTGACAGGTGATTAAAGAAAATTGCTGATGCTGTTGGAAACTGGGGCAAGAGAGATCATGTAGTGTAAATATTAATATTAGTCATATGGGCCCGTTGCCTAGAAAAGACTATTAAACTGTTATTATACGTTATAATGATACAAATATCAACCTCAACCATGGTCGATATACACATGTGTTGACACAAATAAAGCTTGGTCTTTTTCAAAAATACTCTATTCGGGTCGTGGAATCTGTATATCGACCTTGGCCAGGGTCAATATTTGTATAATATTAACTTCCCATTCTGTGAACAACTTCGTATCAGCTCCTGCATTTGCAAGGTCATTCACGGCATCGAAATTATTCCCTGTTGGTTTGCCAATCATATCCCTATAGAGGTTCTGTGTGTTATCACTTTGACAGGGTTTACATGTATGCTGGGTTTACAAATTAAGTACAAGAAACAATACTGGGTAGTAAATCGAGGTTATTTGTCAAGGGGGTGACAGTCTGCCTGGTGACTGGTGACTAAGAATTTTGGAGGTCGGGATCCTTAGTCATAAAGTAGGTAATTTAGTCTCATCACAGTTGGAATTATCTCGACTGAAAAACCACTGAGGGTAAAGTACAGTGGTTAAGTCAATGGATGCCACCAAGCAGGATAAATTTCAAATTAAAAAAAACAAACAATGATCATTGAGAAGTCAGCATTTTGTTTGGAAGCAACAGGTTGTACCCGGACAGAGGAACAGTCAGATAAGGAAACAGGAAATTGAGAACCAGTATTAATACACTTCCTGAATATGGTAACCAAAAGCACGAATGGGAAGGCCTACAGGACCAATGATTGCAGAATCTGGGCAACATTGACCCTAGGCCCAGTCTACACAAAATTTAGGACCCCCTAAGACTACATTGATACCCCTTCCCCAAATTGAGTGAATCAAATCGTTTCGGCCATTTCTAAAATTTGTACCACGTCTGCCCATATACAAAAGCTTGTATACGTTTGTCACTGCTAAAATAGTCAATGCATGATTAAATGACTCGTGAATGTGGAAATCTGATTGGCTGATGAGCAGTGCGGTGTCATGAATTTGTTTTCGCGTATTACTAGTGAATGGCTGTGTTATGTCTGTCATCGTTTAGGCTCATGCAAGGTTCTGGACGGAACTCGACTCAGTGATTTGAAACTAATTACGATATAACCGTTGCCATCCGTACCGCTATTTCTGACAGTTGGTATTCGCAGTTATTAATATAGTGAACGATTAATCAAAAGATATGACGTGTCCAGTACTTAGTGTGATTGGCTGTGTGCAGGTCGAATGTGTTAAAGCCACGCCTGAGAGTCTTTTAAACTGCTTTGTAATTGGTTAAGGTTTTGAAAGTGAATAAAGAGAGCTTTTAGTTGGTCTTGGCGAGAACACCAGGACAGACGAGTCTTGAGGCAGTCTTGGGTCACTTGCGATAGTCTTGGGGACTTTTCCCCAGGGCGCTGTGTCTTATAGAGTACTCGACTGACCGACTAAAGACGAGAGTTGATACGTATTTCGTTGTGTGTGTCTTATTTGACAGTAAGGTTTAAGTGATGTTCCCGATCCCGTATCTCAAGCAGACGAGATATAGAGACCCGACGAGATTCTCCCCTGGCACGTGTGGAAAACCCAGAGGAGAAGAATTTCCCCCTCATAGCGGTATAATATGTATTATAAGTTCATTCTTATTTATTTTTACATTTTATTTTTAATAGATTAGAACCGTTGTATATTTTCTCATGCTGCCAATATTGGTCTGTTACTTTCTGTTGAATCTGCGTTATTTTTTTGGATTTATTCACAGTATTTATGTAGAGTATAACAGGGTGAGTAGTAGACTTACATAATATATACCGTGTTGCATTTATGCAATAATACATGTCGTATATGGAACGAATACGGGTTTGGTGAGCGGTGCCAAGTAAAATTGATGCACCGTAGATAATTCTGTGTTTACTATAGAAACGGTTGATACTTTAAATTCCCATACTCCTAATCGGACACAGTGGAAGAGCAGAAAACGAGATGAAATACTTTGTAATGATGTAACAGTTCCGAAATTGTCTCTAGCAACAACGTTCAGTGCAGGTCACAAATTAGATGTCGTACTAAGTGGAAAATGGGCAAACATTCCTTTTGATTACAGTTAAGAATATTATTCCCCCTGACCTCTCAAACATAAGTTCATGGCAATTAACTCCCCTAAATATTGTGTTAGTATAAGATAATATCGTATGTACCACATTAACCGATAAGAGAACATGTATGTTTTTTTCAGATTGACTGGAAAGGCAAACATAGGCCTGCCAAACTCAAAAAACGACACCATGATTATCTATATGTCAAGAATTTACTCCGCCCTCCACCAGAAAAGTGAGTACATGATTCTGGTTATATTGTTATGCTAATGATATTGTATATATACAAATTCCATGTTTAATTTAAGACATGTTAAGCACAAACCGTCTGTCACGATGCCAGTCGCAGAGTTTAGAATAATACATGGTGCTTTGATGTAGATATATATACATTGAACAAATACACAGGATCATTTGTTTTTGCTTCGTACATTTAGTAATGAAAAATATGTGAAAGTTTGTCGGCAGTTGTCTACATATTGCTGCGTATTATTTGCAGATTTTAAATACATATATTCTCGTGTTATCATTTATAGACCTAAGAAAGAGACGATTCGCATGAAGATTAGAAATATATTATATAAGAATGTGCCTGGTACGTATTGTGCCCCAGTCACAGTGTCCATCGTGTGATTGAATATGTTGTGGACATGCCGCTGTTACCGGCGACCTGTAGCACAGTAACTAAAGATGGTGCACATGCTTCGTCGTTGCATGTGTATACATGTCGCTTGTTGAACTTAGCTTGAACATGAATACTATGACATTAAACTGTATATTGAGTTGTAATTTCATATTTTTTTCAGGTTTTAAATATTCGAGGAAATTGATAAGCACACTAGTGGTCTGTGCAATTGTACTGTTTCAGGTTAGTTGAGTTCAAATGTACTCTTGTATTACAACAATGCAGAGATCTTATCTCTCTTCATCCACATTCTACCTTTTCCTCTCTACCCCCGCCTCATCTTCCTCGTCTTTCTCCTTTTTCTTATCATAATCATACCCATTCTCTTCCTTCTCCTCCTGGATGTAAAAGCCTCTCTTAATGCTTACTCAATCTTAGGTGAGTTTCATCCAGTATGCGGCAGTTGGTACTTCCCTTGAGTATGGATGTTACGAGTTCTTTTCCGAAGGGGGCGAAGGAGAAGAGTTTTTTGCTTCTATAAATAAGTCAGATCTGTACGAAGATGCCAGGGAGATAACGTGTACCATTTACCGTAAGTTAAGATTCAAAAACAAAACACAACTTGTTGAATTGGATAGTATGATTGAGTTGAAATGGAATCAGATCATTTATATATTCGGTTCTGTTTATTAATTTGTTAAATAACATTTATGTTTGATTTTTAGATACATTTATGTGGTCAGCGTATGTCACAGTAGTCATCTATTACGCATATTTGATACATATGGTTCCAGTTTACAGGTAGTAATTTTGATCTACTGGACTTAGCCTTAGAATATTTATGACAGAAATATTGTCATATTTTGCTTTGTTTTGCTTTGTTTTAATTGTTGTTTGCTTTGGTAAGTTTTATTTACTTTACTTTGCTCAGTTTCCTAGTCTACTCTAGTGTATTTTTTTATGAATATATATGTATCTCCATCATTGCTATTGTTCATTGTTTTAATAGGAGATATATGTTGCAAATGTATCGAGGAGATAAGTCTTTTTGGCCCCCTAACTTACAGTCCAATGTGAACCTTCTGGTGAGTTATAAAAATGTAACTTCATGAGTAACTGACTGATGGCGTTCTGCTACAGGAACATATAGTATCGTAGATATATATTGTTAATTTTTTCATATCGTGGTGGCAAAGTAGATTTTTAAATCTTAGTGACAAAGAAGGTTCTCATGATATTGATGTGACGCAATAGGTTGTATACAGATGTTACACAGCAGGTTTATATAACACAGTGAAAGTGGGATTTTATTTTGTTGTGACACGGTTGTTTTTTATCGAAGTGACAGTAGGTTTTATTAACAGTGTATATCGTAGTGACATCGTATGTTTTTAAATCGCGGGGAAATAGTATTTTGTTTATATCGTTATGGCACACTATGTTTTTATTTCGCGCTGATACAGTGGGTTTTTATTTCGCACTGATACAATAGGTTTTTATTTCGCACTGATACAATAGGTTTTTATATCGCATTGATACAATAGGTTTTTATATCGCACTGATACAATAGGTTTTTATATCGCACTGATACAATAGGTTTTTATATCGCACTGATACAATAGGTTTTTATATCGCACTGATACAATAGGTTTTTATTCGCACTGATACAATAGGTTTTTATTTCGCACTGATACAATAGGTTTTTATATCGCACTGATACAATAGGTTTTTATATCGCACTGATACAATAGGTTTTTATTTTATCGCACTGATACAATAGGTTTTTATTTTTCGCACTGATACAATAGGTTGTTATTTCGCATTGATAACAATAGGTTTTTATATCG